TGTACCTGAAGATGTCGATAGTCGTGTACATCATTTCCCACATATATATATATATATTTTTTTTTTTTTTGCTGACTTTGTGCATAACTAAAGAAAACTATATTGAGCCCTTGTGCTATAGTACTATCGTAGCCGGTCAACTAGTAAAAGGAGAGGACAGAAAATGTCTCACTGGTGCATAAACTACAGGGACCGAGAACGATTCTTATTTCTAAGCCATTGGAATTCTGGATCATTTATCATTAGGGGGAACTGTATTTTTATGGAACAATTTTTATTTTTTTTTATTTGTAAGAAAAGTTTGTGCCTTAAGTCTTTCGTTGACTTAATTTGCATAATTATCTTTCAGTTCTTTTTTGATTAATTTTAATATTCAAATATTTCAAGCCAATGAAAGCTATGTGAAAAATTTATTTCTCACTTCCTATTTTCGCGAATAGTTCAGAGAAGATTTGTTCCCGTTTCGTTCTCTGTCAGAAAGTTTTTGAGACTTTAGTATTCAAATTGTTCATCGAGAGAAAGTTCCCTAGACTTTTGGTCCCGTTTAGTTCTTATCCAAAATACTTACTTTTGTTCCCATTTTGATCTCTTAGAATTGTTACCGAAAGTTTTGTACGCATTTTGTTCCCATTGGAAGCGTTCACAGGGTATTATTCTTATATAATTCCCATTGAGATGTTTCTCGACAGTTTTGTTCCCATTTTGGTTTTGGTTTTGAAACATTATTGGGAACAAACCTACGAGACCGACATTTAGTTTCGGTTATACCTTCTGTTCTCGGTCGCTGATAAATTATAATTAGACAATGACTATCAAATATTTTTTAACGGATATTAAACTTTTTTTTTACATTTAAAATCCGCAAAACCCCTAACAATAATACGCAGATAACTTGACGTTATCATTTATAGTTAAAAGTGCATATTTGAACTGCAAAAAAGGTTGAAGGTTGCGTTTAATTTTTAAGTATAATAAATATCAGGTTAAATAGACTATACATACATACATAAGTATGTTAGTGTGTATGTATACATTCCCACTGGGAAAATAGGTAAGCACCTTGCGAGGTAAGCCATGTTTTCTTTCAGTTTTTAGTACCAAAATTGTCATCATGGCTAATGTCATCTACTAGTAAAGGGCAAAATGAACACCTCCGAAGACACATTACGTTGTCAGTTGCAAAATAACGTGCAGCCGAAGTTACCCAGTGGGAATTAGGAGCACGTAATAATACCTTATTAGCAACTTACTCTTCACCTGGCAGTCATTACCATTTCCCTGCCGAACGTCCCTTACTTTTACAAAGGCATGGCCGCCTTATGTAAGTAGGAATTTAGAATGTACATTTGGTATCAGACATACTTCCGAGCCGCTTTACAAAGTAAGTTACGTGTAATGCAGAGCAGTCGCTCGGAGTAGTTCGGTGCTTGGAAATAACTTCGGCTGCACGTTATTTTGCAACTGACAACGTAATGTGTCTTCGGAGGTGTTCATTTTGCCCTTTACTAGTAGATGACATTGGCCATGATGACAATTTTGGTACTAAAAACTGAAAGAAAACATGGCTTACCTCGCAAGGTGCTTACCTATTTTCCCAGTGGGTATTTCCAAGCACCGAACTACTCCGAGCGACTGCTCTGCATTACACGTAACTTACTTTGTATAGCGGCTCAGAAGTATGTCTGATACCAAATGTACATTCTAAATTCCTATTTACATAAGGCGGCCATGCCTTTGTAAAAGTAAGGGACGTTCGGCAGGTAAATGGTAATGACTGCCAGGTGAAGAGTAAGTTGCTAATAAGGTATTATTACGTGCTCCTAATTCCCACTGGGTTTGTAAAAATTTTCATGAAATCTACAAAGCTAAATTCGTTCATTTGACAAGAAGGTGTGAACTGGTATTTTGTTTAGTCGGGAAAAATCTTTTTGGCACATCATTTTATTTTTCTCTTGAAAACAGAGGTATCAATTAACGCCACCAAACAACAAGCCAAATATGAATTACCAAATTCCATTTGTAATTTGTTTTTTTTTTTTTTAAATAGAAATATCGTGAGTCAGTTGTCATTTTTGTTTATTTGCTAAATAAACATACTCAGTAAGTAAGTCTTTAAGTAAATGTGCAAAACACTTAACTGGAAGCATTGTAGCAGTGATAAATAGTAAATAAAGCGCCAATAAAAGCCATTGAACCCTAAGCCTATCCAGATACATACATACATACATAATATTTGAGGCGGCCATAAAATTTCAAATATTAATTTGGAGAAGAAGAAAAAAGGTCAAGTTTAAGTTTGCTTATACGCATCATTAAGAGGCCTGCTTGTTATTGTTGCTTTTGATGCACGCTACTGCATCTTATTGTTGTTCATATTTCCAATGCGTTAGCGCTGCAGTCAATAGGCCATTAGGCACAAAGCCAAAGCGAATTGCTGGCTGGCTGCCGCCCAAACGCGAAACCAGCCAGGGTGCCAAGTTAGTCAGTCAGCGAAGAGACGGGAAGAAGGCGTTGGCTCCAACTAATCGGATACTAAATAGAGGTGTTAAAAAGACTAATTTTCGTTGACCTTGAAATATTTACATATGTATGTATCTAACAATGCGAACGCTAAGTGTGCTAATGAACACAAGTG